AACTAATAGTTTATTACAATAATACAATACTTACAATTATGGTAATATAATAATACATTCAGAAAAGTACACAAATTATGTGTCTAGCTTATATATAGCAATGTGTATCTCTCTCTCTCTATGTATATATATTTATACAAGTAGTCCCTGACTTACGACGGGGTTCCGTTCTGACGACTCCATCGTAAGTCAGTTCTGATGTAACTGGAATAACTCATTTTGAGTTTTAGTTTTCATTATTATTGCTCTTTATTATCACTGTCTTTATAAATTCGATCTTTATTTGCCCCTTTGGGGGTTGGAAACATTACATATAAACTTACAGATGTGTTGACATCGGGGTATTACATGCTGCAACGTTGTATGTAGTACCTATTGCTAATGGTAAGATATCCCCACCCCCTACAAAAAAAAAAGCCATGCGGCTTGTCCTAACTCGAATCTGTCTTGAGTCGAGGACTACCTGTGTGTACACACACACACACACACACACACACACACACACACACACACACACACACACACACACACGTATACATCCACATACCTATACATATATATGTATATATACATACTGTGTTCATACAGACACACACACACACACACACACACACACACACACACGTATATATGAATGAATCTACTGGGGAGAAATAGATACATGGCTCTTAATTTCCTAGGGCCGCTGTAACAAAGTACCACAAAGTAGGACTTAAAACAATACAAACTGATTGTCTCACGGTTCTGGAGGCTAACAGTTCGAATTCAGGGTGTCAGGCAGAGCCAGTGCTCTCTCCAGAGACTCCAGGGAAAGATCTTTTCTTGTCTCTCCCAGCTTCTAGCAGCATCAGACTTGCCCAGAGCATAGCTCCATTTCTGTCTCTGTCTTCACATGCTGTTCTTCTTCTGTCTTTCTCTGTCTCTTCTTCTCTTTTAGAAGAACACCACTCAGATTGGATTAGGACTCACTCTACCCCAGTGTGACCTCAGGTTAGCTGATAACATCTTCAAAGACCTTATTTCCAAACAAAGTCGTATTCACAGGTACCAGAGATGAGGACGTCAATTTATCTTTGTGGGACACACATTCAATTCATAATGTGTGGGTGACTTTATGCAAAGTAAAAATTTGCATGTAACTTGACACACATCAAGAAATAGAATATTACCTACACCCCAGAAGTTCCCTTTCACCCCCCTTTCAGTTACCATCGCCCCACAAAGGTATTAACTATCCTGACTTTTAAATCATAGATTAGGTTTCCTGTGTTTTGGACACTTAAATAAATATAATCATACATTAGCTAATGTTTTGTGTCTGGCTTTGTTCATTCAACTTTATTGTTGTGTTAATCCATATTATTGTGTGAGGCAATAGTTTATACATTCTCATTGCGCTATTGAATTCCATTGTATGAATGTACTAAAATTTACTTAATCATTCTACTGTTGATGGACATTTGTGGTATTTTTTGCTTTGGGATACTAGGAATGATATTGGTGTGAATATTCTCATACACACCCACTCTTAACACTTATTGACGGGGTTAGGTTCCAAAGACCATGTTGTTATGCAAAAATTGGTATTATGTGAAAACGGAGGATGACCACATCACATCACAAAATGAAGGATGACTGCATCATTACATAACTGCCAAACCACTGAGAATCTGGGCCCAGCCAAGTTGACACAGAACCTTAGTCATCAGAGCCAGCGTTATCTTGCCTTGCACTTTGGCATTCGTTGCTGCCAGACGTATGTTATTAACGCGCAGAATAGTCAAAAAGTGGATTTTTTACTATGGTTGTAAATGTGAAATGTCAGATAACAAGATAGCCGATAAGTGAGGAGTACGTGTATGTCTTTTGGTGAACACATGTATGTGTTTCTGCTGAATAAATGCCGAGGAAAGAGTCCTGGGTGTCCTTATCTGTTTATTATTGATATTTCGGTTAAGTGCTTTCTTTTGGTTAGTATTTTCCATACTTTTATGCTCAACATTTTATATGTGTATGCTTTCATTACGTCTTTTGTAAGCTCTGTATACTTAATTTTTAGAATTTTGCCCTTTTAATCCTATCATGTGTATCATAAACACATTATATAGAACTTAGTATGTGCAAACAGTGTTCCAAGTGCTTTCCATATATTAACTTACATCTCTCAATTTTTGTTTGACTAAAATGTCTTTATTTCACTCTGCTATTGAAAATTATATTACTCGATATAAACTTTAGATTTGCAATTGTATTCTTTCCCCATATTGAAGATGACATTTTGCGGTCTTTTGGCTTACATTATTGATGTTGAGAAGTCAACTATTAATTAAATGCTGTTCCTTCCAAGGTAATATGTCTGCTTTAAGAGTTTGTTTATTTTCTGGAATTATTATTTTAAATTTAATCCAGTTTGTCTTCTTGGATTTGTGGATTGATACTTTGTGATAGGCTTCTCAGATATTGGCCTCTGTCTCTTTCCTTTCCTTCCGATACTCCTGTGAATTATAGGTTAGAGTTAAACCTCTCCACCCTTCTGTATTTTCAGTTTTCAGTATCTCTGTGCTGTGATCTGTGGAGTGCAGCCCTGCTCTGAAGTCATGAGGAGTAACTCACTCAGTGGCAGCTGCTTGCTGCTTTGGTTTTTGTTTTTGTTTTTGGTTTGTGTTGTACACTGAATAATTTTTTCTGACTTGGCAGGTCACTGATTCTCTCAGCTTTTACTAATACATATACTCTCCTCACTTATCGACTATCTCATTATCTGACGTCTTGTATTGACACAAAAGTAAAAACCTTCTATCTGACTCTGACTCTTTTGTGCATTAACGAGTCAGCAGGCATGGTGGCAATGACAGTGGAGTGTCCCTTCCCTCGAGGAGGGTCTTGAGGTGGCCTTCGGGAAACTGGACCGTTCCGCCCCGTGCCCTCCCTCCCCTCTAGCCGGTGGGGGCGTCGCATCCAGCTGCCACACAGGGCTGGCCTCCTCTGTGGCCTTGGCCTCCAGGTGGATGCGCAGGCCACACTGAGCCAGCAGGCACCTGTTCTTGGTTCCCAGCTCCTATGTGGCCAGAGGCCTGCAGCTCAAAATTGCTGCGGGGTGGAAAGGGAGGGAAGAAAGAGGTATGGGAGAGAGTGTTTGGAAGAAATGTGTGCGAGTTTAATGACATCCCACAGTGAGCTGATCTGGGCCTGAAGCCTCCGCTTTGGTGGGGCCTGAGTACGTGGCCAGGCTCCCAGCACCCTCACAGGAAGCCCTGAGCCTCGATGACTCGCCAGGTCCCGAGAGCAGAGCAGGCTCTGGAATCATGAACGCCGGGTTTGCAAGGGTGGGAATGGAGCCCTGGAGGTGTCTCTGTGAGGGAAGCTCTGAGCAAGCACAGGAGGAAGGTGAGGTGGTTAAGCCGTGGGCCCTCCAGTCACACAGTCCGGCTTCATCCAGCTGTGTCTCCTCTGAGCCTCCTTCTCTGCAGAGGAATAGTCCGTAACTGGACTCATCACAGTGATGAGCACATCAGTAAATCTTAGCTGTTATTATTTCTATGATTGTATTTTCTAAATTAAAAAAATGAGACAAATGGATCTGAAAACGGAAAAAAAGTCCTCCATTTTTGTATAACGTCAATTTTTGTATAATCACCTTGTCTTTGTTTTTTTTTTGTACTTTAGATGAAGGTTTACAGGACTAACCAGCTTCTCACTAAACAATTAGTACACATATAGTTTCGTGACATTGGTTAACAACCCCACGACATGTCAACACTCTCCCTTCTCGACCTTGAGTTCCCTATCACCAGCTTTCCTGTCCCCTCCTGCCTTCTAGTCCTTGTACCTAGGCTGTTGTGCCCCATTAGTCTTGTTTTGTTTTTTGGGCCTGTCTAATCTTTGGCTGAAGGATGAACCTCAGGAATGACTCATTACTTCATTACTGAGCTAAAAGGGTATCTGGAGGCCATACTCTCCAGTCTAGAGTAAGTCTGGTCTTTTTTTGTGAGTTAGAATTTTGTTCTACATTTTTCTCCAGCTCTGTCCGGGACCCTCTATTGTGAACCCTGTCAGAGCAGTCAGTGGTGGTAGCCGGGCACCATCTAGTTGTGTTGGACTCAGTCTGGTGGAGGCGATGGTAGATGTGGTCCATTAGTCCTTCAGACTAATCTTTCCCTTGTAACTTTAGTTTTCTTCATTCTCCCTTGCTCCCGAAGGGGCAAGACCAGTGGAGTATCTTAGATGGCCGCTCACAGACTTTTAAGACCCCAGATGCTACTCACTAAAGTAGAGTGTAGAACATTTTCTTTATAAACTGTGTTGTGCCAGTTGAGCTAGATGTTCCCCTAGACTGTGGTCCCCACAGCCCTGAGCCCAGTAATTTGTTCTCTGGGGGAGTTTGGATGTACGACCTTGTCTTTGGAACCTAACATGTTCATAAGTGAGGGGTGAGTGTATGTTAATAAACACATTCACTGAATTTTTAATTCCGTTTATTGTTTTTCGTTTTTAGAAGTTCTACTTGATTTTTTCAAATCTTCTAGTTTACTCTGTATTATTTTTAATTACCTGTATATATTTTCAGATTTATGTATTATTTCTTTAAAATTATAAGTATGATAATTATATAATCTGTTTGGTAGTTAAAATACCTGAAGTCTGTGTGAGTGTTCTTGACATCTGGTATCTTTACTGGTTCTTGCTTTGTTTTCTTAGGTGCTTGGTTATTTTTGGCTGGGTTCTGCTCATCATTCTTGAAACACCATATGTGGACATTCTTTGAGACCTAATATGAAGGTGCCCACTTCTAGGCAGAACTTGAATTTACTTGTTAGGTGCTTGGGAATACTCCCATTTTGGGGATCACTAAGTCATATCGTGAGGTTCTCTGGACCACTTAGGACATGCGAACCTCAGCAATTGTGCAGGCCCATGGCCAAAGCTAATGAGCTGTTTGTTCCCTGTATCCTTTATTTCCCTGGATATAACCCTTTGCTGCTCTGCTTAGTGCCAGGACAGCCTTCTCTGCTGTCCGCTGCGGCTGGAGGGAGGGCGCGTGTGGCATTCTGGTGGACCTTTCCTTTGCAGGTGTGTCTTTGTTTGGAGGGGGAGGGAACATAGTGTTTTTCATTAATGTCAGGAGGGTCTCTTATGTGACTTTGTACCTTGACAAGTTCAGATGTACTTTTGTCTCCCTTTCCCTGTGAGACCCCCAAAACTGAATTCTGGGTTTGTCAAGATCGGCAGATGCACTTGGGGCACACACGGGTCTAGTGCTCCATTTACTTCTCTGCGTTCCGGCTTTCTCTTAGATTTTGGCCTGACTAACTTGTGATGCCTTTAAGAATAAGCTTTTTTGGATTTTTTTTTCTTTTTTTTTTGTATAGTATTTTTTTTAGTTGGAGGGTTAGTGTAACTGGAAATGAAAATAAAAAGGTTTTTTTCTTTTAATTTTGGGAAATGCTCAGTAGAGTGATTTTCATTAAATAGATAAGTTAATTACTATAAATTAGACAGTTATAAATTATCTTGGGAGGGCACAGTTTGCTTTCTGTGTTTATCATGAATGTAGTATATGCATATTTTCTGGTTTGCATCTAATAGTTTTCTCGTTTTAGGGGTAAAAATATTTCCATCATGGCTCATTCAAAGTCGAGGACCAATGATGGAAAAATTACTTATCCTCCTGGTGTCAAGGAAATCTCAGATAAAATATCTAAAGAGGAGATGGTGAGACGGTTAAAGGTGAGTAAAATTGGGTTTCATTTTCTGGACATCTGTTCAGGGTGGGGGCACCCCCTGGAAATGACATGGGGGGATGTCCCTTGCTAATCCAAACCAAATCCACTGCTGTTGAGACAATTCTGACTCATAAAAAAACAATTGCTAGGGCAACGTAAAAAACAGAGCAGCTAATGACAGATGTCAGGGAGAGGAGCTGAGAGAGTAGAGGAGATGAAGGAGCAGTAGGGTTTCCTTTGCTGTTGGTTAATGCCGGAGCAGCTGGAAAGGTGACGCTTAGATTTTCTGGGACCTCCAATACTTGGTATAAAGAACAAATCCACAATACCCTCTATTCCTTTTTGTTTGTGGAAAGTTGTCTCCTTTCTCCTGTACCACATTTGTTATATAGGAACAACCCTTTTAATCTGAGATGGGACGCTTTCAGCGTATACTGAGAGATCAGGCTGTATTTCACTTTCTTTAAGGTATTCTGAGAGAAGGCCAAAGAGTTGTTGTTTTAGCTTCTCCCTTTGCTTGTGACTTGCAGCAGTGAGTGAAGATTGGTGGTGAACTCTTCTAGCTGAGACGGTCATTCACTGTATGGGAAGGTCTCTGTCTGTTTGGATGGTTCGCCTTTCCCTTCTGGCAGGGAAAGTCCTGTGAGTGTTAAGATGGCTGAAGGAGAATAGTGGCCAGGGAGAATGTCAGGCTGATTTATTAGTTAGTTTGGATGGTATTTATCTATTTTTGAGCATTTTTTCCCCTTGTAGGTTGTATCTACCTAGACATTTATGTTGCTCGATGTATTGTTACTCACTTGGATTTCAAGACTGGAAAACTTTCCTTAATTAGTCTTTGAAAGCCCAAGAGTTTTAAAACAAAGTTCTGTTTTACAGCCATTGATCTACACGGCGTATTTTTATAAGAAGAACGAAATCCTAATACAGTATTATAAATTTCACATAAAGTCTTAGTATTTATGAATAAAGTATTAGAATGTCAGATCTTAGATGTATATTATTCAGAAGAAAAGATGTCTCTGAACAGATTAAATTTGCCAGTAGGTGGATATTTTATCTAGTTGGGACATGTATATTTAATTTTAAAAGTTGAGCTGTAAACCTCTTATATATGACACTTAATTTTCTGTATATTTACATTATCTTGATGTTTTGAATTTTAGGAAATAAATCCTTTTTTTCCCTCAGATTTGCTTGTATTTCAAAAATGATATCTATTAAAATTTGCTGAGAAATGAAGCTCGAAAGCAGACAGAATATACAGTTATAAGCTGATTAGCATTTAGTGTCTTTTAGAGATGTTATTTATTTACTTGATTTACACAGACATCTTCTTGACTCTAGAGGATGTGTATGTGAGTTATGAACGAGTTTAATGCCACCCTGCGAGCTGTAGACAGTAGTGAGGAACCCAGTGTCAGAATCTGGCCCTGGAGCAAACTCTGCTGTGAGTCTTGGTGGAATTAGTTCCACAGTGTTCACACCGGGTGTTTGTCATATACTTCTGTTACTTTGTTGACTCTTTTGCCTGGTAGTAATGTGTTTAATATACTTTTTCCTAATTTACCCTTCCAGTATTTTTAGCATCCTTTCTGGAAAAATATAAAAAGGAGTGTATGTGGGGTGATAACTGATTTTGGATACATACAAGTAAATGTGTAAGTTGTATGAATTAGAACAATTTGTTAACATACAAGGTGATGTCGTTTATGTCATTTCCAGTTTATCCCATAACGTTTTATTCAGAATGTACTTAATCCTCTCTTTTTTTTGAAAAGATTCTAGAAAAAGAAGTAGTTCCCTGTGCCTAGATCTGGTTTTTATTACCTTTCATAATGCACCAGGGCCATCAAAACATACATCTTAAAAGCAATAAATGTAAAAAGTTAGGAGCCTAGTCCTGAACACCGTACCCTTAAACTAACAGTCGTGCCAGACAGGAAGGGTTTGTCGACTGTTGGTTCTGGCACTTGGCACAGCAAAGCCGAGGGGCCTCTCTGTGAGGGACAGTGCTTTCCAGGGCTGCTTTGAGAGTTCCCGAAGAAGTGGAACCGTTCATTACTCGGAGGGCTGTCTCCACAGCAGAGCAGAAGCCCTCGCCGCGTGTGGCACAGCCCTTGGTACTGGGTGGCCAGCCCTGCCTGTTGCTTAGCATGTGCGGCGCCACCTAGTGGGCACCAGCCGGTCACCTTTTCATCGGCATGGTCATTAAATGTCGGTTCCTGTCACATTAGACAGTTCTGTGGAGTCTCGTTTGAAGTAGGAAAAGTACTTGGTCACGTTGCCCAGGCTGAGGCTGTCGTGACTGCTGATGCTGAGGTTAGAGACCCCTGTTCTCAGAATTCCGACGATACCATTCCTTTCCATGCTCATTTCCATCCCACTTCTTTTACGTAAGTATTTTTGAAAAAGGCATTTCCCGGAGCTTCCTGCTCCTCACCCCATATGTGCCATTGAGTCCTGCCCGTGAACTGTCCATGTCATACCTTCTTTCACTGTGCCACAAGAAGTCCTCGCCAGATGCCGTGATACTCACTGCACGGTAGCCTTTTCACATTTGGAGCTGCATCTTCGACATCCTTGAGTCTGCGGATATGATTTGTTTTAGCTGAATATGTAAAACCGTGTCTGCAGTGGTTGTGGCGCAGATGGAGAAATCTAAATTGTCATCCTAAATTTTTCATGAGGGGTATACTTGACGAAAGGATTTGAAATATTATAGAAAAGGGGTGTTATTTTAAAGATGGAAGGACTACTAATTTTAGTCCAGTTGTAGAAGTGAGACCAGAAATACCAAGAAATACTAGAATTCTTGCAGTAATGACCATTGCATAAGGTTAATTTCAAACTTAAATCTAGTTAGCAGATATATACATAACTGAAAAGTATTTTGCTTAGTTTTTAAAAGAAAAGTTGTTTACCCTGTAGTCTTTAGAAGGATCTTTTCCTCTCAAATAGATGTTTCCAGGGAGGGAATGAAAGTATGCTTATTGGAAGTTAATTTTTGCAGTTAATATGGCCTTTATTTCAAATGACTCTTTTTACGTGGAGCATTTCATTATTTGATTGAGATGTTTTCTTTTTTTGTATAGATGGTTGTGAAAACTTTCATGGATATGGACCAGGACTCTGAAGAAGAAAAGGAGCTTTATCTAAACCTAGCTTTACATCTTGCGTCAGATTTCTTCCTCAAGCATCCTGATAAAGATGTCCGCTTGCTTGTGGCTTGCTGCCTCGCTGATATTTTCAGGATCTATGCTCCTGAAGCCCCTTACACATCCCCCGATAAGCTAAAGGCAAGTACTGATTTCAAGACCTCCTAAGATGGGCCGATCCCTCACTCGTCTTGCTAGGTTGGACGTTGAAGTATTTGGATAATTGCTGTGAAGTCCTTGTCATCAACCGCAGCGATCTTTGTTAAACGACTTGTGTTTGTTTAGAGCTCAGGTTCAAAAAATGATTTCTGATCCTCAGCCTGAGAAGTCGATTTAGTGCCGTGTGTTCTGTGGTTATAAAATTGTCATCATCGGCTCTGTCTCCCTCAGCCTTACCTGGGAAGCAACTCCTTTTCCCTTCTGAAAATTCATATTGAAGACCATATTCATTATTTAAGAGAGAGTAACCTAGTATAATATATGAATCCTAATTCATTTAATGGAAGGTCTGATGTGAATTGTTTTGAAGAAAATACAATGAAAGCAAAATTTTAATGGAAAGATAGAAAAGACGTGTAGTATTTGGTAATGGTGGTTGTAAATAAAGGCATCTGAGCACAGAACTTGTAAGAGATGAGGAAAGAAGGGGACAGCGTGATCAGTCACTTTGGCAGAACGCTGGCACTAGCATGAAATAACGAGTGCTGTGCGGAGAGATGCTGAATGTTGATAAGTCAGGGTAGGGAGGAAGTTAAGACAGCAACAGCAGAAACATAATTGTGGAAATTGTGGGGTAGAGAAGGAGCCTGTAGGAAGATTATTAATTCACAGTGTGAAAACATGGCAGAAAATGTGGGTTTATTTCATGAAACAAGTATCGATGTCAGTTATGTGTCTGGAACTGGGTTTACATTGGTGAACAAAACAGATAGGATTCCTGGACTCAGTGGAGCTGCTTCTTGATTGTTGGAATGAGGAACCTGCTCATTGATCAAGTCGCTCAAAATTCAGGTGTGGAATACCCACGCTGGTTTGGGTATGCCTGTTCTGTAATTTTGATTGGTGAAAGGATTTCAGGATGAGGTGGTAGGGAGTGCAGGAGAGAAGGAGAGGGGCAATATTTGTCATTTAAAAGTGGAATTGAATTGGAGGATTTGAGAATAGTCAGAGACTTTAAAGTGGATCACATGAGCTGGTCCGTGTAGTTGTGTGCCCAGGTGTATCACTTGATTTCTAATTGTGAACTTCTAATCTCGAGGTCCTTCACTGGTCAAGGATTGTGCTGGGTCGATGGTGGGCAGTGTCCCCCCCCCACTAGGTGTCTGACTTTAGACGGCGGCTGCCCAGCTCTTCTACCTCTCTTGCGGATTTCTCTGTTTGTGTGGCCAGTGACCAGTGTCAAGGCTTTGGGGTAATGCAGAGTCCTCCTGGAAGAAGAGCTACGGATCCCTGTTCTGTTTATAATAAGATGATTTCTGAGAATATTGAAGAACTGAAATTAAATAGGGTCTTTGTACATTATGCCATAGCTTAGTTAAAATTCTAAAGTATCTAATTTTTTTGTCAATAGCTCTTATTCTAAATGCCTTTTGGCAGGGGGCAAGCAGTATTTAAAAACTGTTGATCTTGAGGGTGTTTTCTAAATATTTATAGAATAGTTTTCGCTTTCTTTTGATTTTGTTAACATCAAGTTGGTATTTTTCATTATCTATAATAGAAAATTACGACACCTTAATCCTCACCTTTCCACTATCAGTTTGTTATTGTCATCTGAAAACCTTTTTTTTACACATGGCTTAATGTGTAAAGTCCCTATCATGTGCTAGGAATTTAGGTGAATAATTGTTGGAGAGATTAGAAATGAGCGACGGTTGTCTGTCCATCTCCAGAGAGAGTCTCTGTTGGTCAGCCCAGGAAGGGTTCCTTCCCGGGGGGCACACTCCCCTTTCTATTCTCAAAGGAACCAGACTCTGCCAAGGCTACTTTTCACAGAATCTTTCTTGAAAAGCAGCTCAGTCATCTGTATATTAGATTTCTCTCTCTCTCTCTCATACAAGCTTGCTTATCATTTCACTTATAAGCAAGCATATATTGTTGTTGTAGTTAGGTGCCATCGAGTTGGTTCCGACTCATAGCGACCCCATGTACAACAGAATGAAACACTGCCCGGTCCTGCTTCATCTTAACAATCATTGCTATGTTTGAGCCCATTGTTGCAGCCACTGTGTCAGTCCATCTCCTTGAGGGTCTTCCTCTTTCTCGCTGACTCCGTACTTTACCGAGCATGATGGTAAATTATAGTTGACTTAGTTTTCACGTCTATTTGTTAAACTTGATGTAAGGTGAAGTTTTTCTTCCTCTACTATGAGATCGTCATAAATGATTTATTGTTTTCCTATGAAGGATGGTAAGATATTTATTGTTATTAATGTTATTCATATGAATGTGTACTTTTAAAAACTTACAGCCAAATACAAATTTTTTTTCCTGGTTTTTGATAATTGATGGTATCTGCATGTGAGTGCTGACTGAACTTTAGGAATTTAGTGTATGTTTTCATTTAGTATTGATAATCTAAACACTGCTTTTGTCTTTTCTTTTCAAGGATATATTTATGTTTATAACAAGGCAGTTGAAGGGGCTAGAGGATACAAAGAGCCCACAATTCAATAGGTATTTTTATTTACTTGAGGTAAGCAATATAGTATATCTTGAGTTAACAACATTTAAAACTGACTTTTGTGCTTGGATATTTTTACCAGTTAAAGTGGTTACCTTTCACCTTTTTTATTTTTTACCTTATTTATAGAACATTGCTTGGGTCAAGTCGTATAACATATGCTTCGAGTTAGAAGATAGCAATGAAATTTTTACTCAACTATACAGAACATTATTTTCAGTCATAAAGTAAGTTTATTTTACCAACTATGTAACATTTAAAAAATATACAGAATTTCTAACTTATAAGTGAATTCACATACAGCATGTTTGTTATAAGGAGCTCTGGTGGGGCAGTGGTTAAGAGCTTGGCTGCTAACTGACAGATCAGTAGTTTGAATCCACTGGCCTCTCTGTGGGAGAAAGATGTGGCAATCTGCTTCTGTAAAGACAAAAAAAACCCAAAAAACCCGCTGCCGTCGAGTCGATTCCTACTCAGAGCAACCGTATATTAGAAACCCTATGGGGCAGTTCTACTCTGTCCTGTAGGGCCGCTATGTGTTGGAATTGACTCAATGGCAACGAGTTTTTTGTTTTTTTGGTGTTTGTTATGCTGGATGGAAGGCTAAGAGTTCTAACTTAAAGAGCTCACTTAAAAATCATTTTCATAGAAGTTTAAAAATGAGTAGAATTTAATTTTGCATCGTAAGGAATAATTGGTCAGAAGAATGGCATAAAGTAATTTACAGCCAATGTAAAAATTTTTTTGGATTGTGTTGCTATTTTTTAATTTTAATTTAATTTCCCTAATTCATGTGAGTATTTGAGCTTTTTTGGTATTTAAAAAAATTATTTACCACAGTTAACTTTGGCATAGCCATTTGATTCTCTGAATTTAAGGAAAAATTAAAGTTACATTTGATTTAATCACTTGATTGTGATTAGGGAATTGTGGTGAAATTAGGGAAAAGTAAACGGAATGTAGTTTGAAATATATTTTTGATACTCATGTAAGATTTGTAGAGAGGCTTTAAATGCATATATAGTAAATATTTAATATATTTATTTCATTTTTTATAAAGTGCAATGCTTGTCAGTACATCTTGTGATTAAATACTTGTAGATTTCAGTTACACTTCAAGTAAAATATCTGTTTTGAATTTCAGCAATGGCCATAACCAGAAAGTTCATATGCACATGGTCGACCTCATGAGCTCTATTATTTGTGAAGGTGATACAGTATCTCAGGAGCTTTTGGATACAGTTTTGGTAAACTTGGTGCCTGCCCATAAGGTAAGTAGCAATATATATTGAACTGTGTCTAATATCTGTAAATATTCAGGTCTAGAATTTGTATTTAAGTTCTAGATATAATTTATCCCTGCTTTTACCTTAGTTCTGGAGAATTTGTTTTGTTGACTAATACTTATACTGTGTTTAATGTTTAATAAAATACAATACGCTTACTACTCACCAACTAAGTGAAAAGAAGAAGTAATTTAGTTCATAAAATAAAATATCTGTAACAACTCAGTTTCATATGGGAGGTGCATTAATAGCTACTTAGATGCTATTACATAACTTTATATGTTGAGTTTTATGAAGGATTAAAACAAACTCCCTTGTTTAAAACTGCTTGCCAGCTGAGTTGAGCAGATAAGGGAATAAAGGAAGAAAGAAAATAATAAAAACATTGGGAAGCTAAGTGTGCCTTCAAGTCCTTTGAACTTGCCCTTCGTCTTCTAGGCTGTGGTTAGAATTCAGCGGAGGAAGCTGTTCAGCATAATGGCCAGGGATGGTAACATCTGAACCTCATCCTGAAGGTTGGGTAGAAAATTCACCAGGCAGACTAGTGATATGGTGGAAAGGAACAGGGGAAGACGTTCATTTCAGTTGAGAAAATAGCATGTGCAAAGATAAGGAAATATGAAAAAAAATTGTGTGATGAAAGAACTAGTAAGCAGTTCACTTTGGTGATTAAATGGAGACTGGAAGCCAGAGCAGAGAAGATAGGACTGCAGATGGAGACCAGGGGTCGGATAGTGAAGGCCCTGCAAAAGTCGTATCCAGCGGTTGGGTTTGTCTTTTCAGAGGTAGAGAGATGATTCAGCGCAGGGATATAGTCGTGTGTGTGTTGTAGAAAGGTAATTTTAGTATAGAAGATGAACTGGATTGAGAAGAGGCTGGAGCTGTAGGTACTAATTGGGGATACGCTGCAGCTGTTTAGGGCCTTAACCGAGGATGGATGACCTAATGAGCAAGGTACGCACGGGCTTACTTACTAATCTGGAGTGCACAGTTTCACATGGGTTTCACCATATTGCTGATGTGGTGAAAAACAGGTGAAATTGTGCACTAGAGATTAGTAAGTAAGCACCAGTGAGCCCGTGTGTACCTCAGTAAGTAAGCACCGGGGAGCCCGTGTGTACCTCAGTAAGTAAGCACCGGGGAGCCCGTGTGTACCTTGCTTATTGGGTGATCCCTCCCTGGCCTTAACTAAAAGACGGTGACAGTGTAGATGGAGAAGAGGATGAAACTGAGAGAGCAGTCGTTGCGGTTGGAGACCAGGGCGACGCTGATGACAGTGTTTCTCACCTGCGTGACGTTCATCAAGATTTGTCTGGGTTTTTTCCTTGTATGCGTCTGCTTTGATTGTTTAACATGACTTACTCCCCAGTAGGCAGCTGGAAATACGGTTGTGTGATTTAGAAGAGGTCTGGGTTAAAGAGAGCAGCACAGGAGTCACTGGTAGAAAGATCTACACAGACTAAGACCTCTGGCAAGGTGCAGTCCCAGCCTCCAGCCACACAGCACTGCCGCAAAGAATGCTTCCGTGCAAAGGATCTCGGAATTTCCAAACTCACTAAAGAATATGATGCATCAGTGCTGAAAGTCAGCAGAAACTACAAATAGCAAGATTATACCTCTGTGTCAGGGTTCTCCAGAGAAATGGAACCAATAGAATCCCCCCGCCCCCATCTTTATTTCTGTATTTAGGAGTTGCCTCACATGATTGTGGGGGCTGGCAAGCCTGAAATCTGTAGGGCAGGCTGGTAGGCTGGAAGCTTGGTAGGATCTGATGCTGTAGTCTTGAGGCAGAATTTCTTCTCTGGAAAAGAGAGTTTGCTTTTAAGGCCTTCAGCTGATTGGGTGAGGCCCCTCACATTATCAAGAGTAATTGCTCTTCTTAAGGTCAGTTGATTTTAAATGTTAAACACGTCTACAAAATACCTTTACAGCAGGACCCAGATTAGTTCCTGATGAAATAACTGGATACAGTAGCCTTGCCAAGTTGACACAGAAGGCTGACCATCACAGCCTACCCCACATCAGTTTGGCACCCATACACGTCTCCTTAAGCCATGCTTCATCTCCAAAGACAGTAACAGAGTCATACTTGTGCCTGTCATGGTGCAGCCATCCAGCGTGCAATCAAAAGCGCACCACTTCTTTCCCCAGAAGATGACGGCACGTCCGTGGGTGGTGGTCACTTTTCTCCATGTCCCGTAACTTAAATACTGTGAGGCAAGGGTAGCTGCTGCTTATACAGTTTATGTTTTATGGTAAGGGGGTATAAGAGAGGGAAGAAGAGAAAGCTGTTTGAGAATATATATATAACAAAACCAGGAGGAAGTACTCATTTCTGTAACTAGTCCCATCGGCATAGCTGGCGTTTATAACTGCCTTCATCCACTACCCATTCTGTATTCCCTTTGCTCTCAGCAAGCACCCGAAATCCTGGTTGTTTGCCTGGTGGTTAAAGACATCTTTCCTGAAGGGTCTGGGCCGTTAGTAGTCTTGGCTGAAGCGGGTTGTTGTAGTTTTCCATTGGAGTCCCTGGATGGTGCAGATGGTTAACATGTTCCACTGCTACCCAAAAAGTTGGAAGTTCAGGTCTACTTAAAGGCTCAGAAGAAAGGCCTGGCAATTTATTTCTGAAAGATCAGCCACTGTAAACCCTGTGGAGCACAGTCCTCTTCTGGCACACATGAGGTTGCCCTGAGTCAGAGTTGACTCGACAACATCTGGCTTGGAGTTCTTGGATGGTGCAAGTGGTTAATGTGCTTGGCTGCTAATCAGAAGGTTGGAGGTTTGAGTCCACCCAGGCATGCCTCAGAAGAAAGGCCTGGTTATCTACTTCTGAAAAAATTAGCCATTGAAAATCCTATGGAGCACAGTTCTACTCTGGCACACATGGGGTCACAATGAGTCACAGTCGACTTTATGGCAACAGATAGTTTTCCATCGACTTTAATCACAGGTCACAGTAGTACTAAGAGACCCCTTAAGGGATCTTTTGTATTTCAGTATACTCTTGTATTTCAGTATACTCGTTCTTAACCTCTCTTGTGTAGTGAGCGCTCCAGTGTTGCCTTGGTAATCAAGATCAATCACCCCAGTGAGGACAGTAACTCCCTTCTTTGCCTGTTGATTCAGAGGCATGAGGAGCCCATAGTGGCCAGATGTCAGTCTTAACTTCACTGTTGTGTCTCCTGGTGAAAGTTTTCCTTCCTTTGGAACTAAGACCTCTAGAGCACCAGAGCACAGGGTCTTGGTGATAGGAAGCAAAAATGTTGCTAGTTGATCACTTGAGATAATAGTGGGTGGTGCCACTCCTGTTTTCACCCCTTGATACTTGGACCTGTGAGTCGTGGGTATGCGAGAAGTAGCTCCTGTTATGGAATGAATTGTGTCCCCCCAATAGGTATTGTAAACCCTAACCCTGTACCTGTGGTTATAATCCTATTTGGGAATGGGTTTTCTTTGTTATGTTAATGAGACAGTATTAGCGTATGGTGTGTCTTGAGTCAGTCTCTTCTGAGATATAAAAGGAATAAATTAAGCAAGCGGAGATGGGGGAAGATAGACGCCATGCCGCAGGAAGATGACCAAGGACCCAGAGTATAGAAGCTGAGGAGACGAGGACCTACCCTCAGAGCCGACAGAGAGAAAAAGCCTTCCCCAAGAGCTGGTATCCTGAATTCGGACTTCTAGCCTCCTAACTGTGAGAAAATAAATTCGTTAAAGCCACCTACTTGTGGTATTTCTGTTAAAGCAGCACCAGATAACTAAGGCAACGTCATATATTGGATGCCGATTTAGAGCATATACAGGCTCTTGGAGAACATTGCCCCAGCTCTGCAAGGTATTGCCACGTAGCTGGTGTTGTAATTGAGTCTTTACAAGGCCATTCCGTTGTTCTGTCAAGCCACCTGCTTCAGGATGACAGGGAACATGGTAAGACCGGTGAATCCTATGAGCATGGGCATGTTGCCACACTTCATTTGCTGTGAAGTGAATTTCTTGATCCTAAGCAGTGCTATATGGAATATCATGACAGTGGATAAGGCATTTTGTAAGTCTATGGATGGTAATTTTGGCAGAAGCATTTCATACAGGGAAGGTGTCTTAGTTTTCTAGTGCTGCTATAACAGAAATACCATGGATAGCTGTAACAGAGAGAAATTTACTCTCTCACAGTCTAGGAGCCTCGAAGTCTGAATTCAGGGCACCAGCTCCAGAAGAGGGCTTTCTCTGTTGGCTCTGGGGAAGGTCCTTGTCATCAATCTTCCTGTGGTCTAGGAGTGTCTCAGTGCAGGAACCCCGGGTCCAAAGGATGTGCTCTGCTCCTGGCACTGCTTTCTTGGTGGTATGAGGCTCCCCTGTCTCTCTGCTGTCTTCTCTCTTTAATACCTTGAAAGAGATTGACTTAAGACACAACCTAATCTTGTAGATTGAGTCTTGCCTCATTAACATCTTAGAGGTAGGGTGTACAACATATGGGAAAATCACATCAGATAATAAAATGGTGGAGAATCACACAGTACTGGGAATCATGGCCTGGCCAAGTTGACACACATTTTTGGGGGACACGGTTCAGTCCATGACAGAAGGCAAATCCATATCTAGATAAGTGCCTATTCTAGTAAGAACAAAGTACTGCCCTTTCCATGGTGGAAGAGGTCCACTGTTGTCACTCTGCCAGCAGGTAGCTGGCTGACCACCCCAAGGTATGATGCCATTCTGAGGACTCAGCTGGTCCCTGCTGCCGGCAGATTGGGCACTCAGCAGCGATTGTAGCCAGGCTGGCCTTGGTGAGTGAAAGTCCATGTTGCTGAGCCCATGCATAACCTCATCCCTGCCACCATGGCCACTTTGTTCATGAGCCCGTTAGGCAGTGACAGGAGTGACTGGGGAAAGAGGCTGACTGTGTCCACAGGATGGGCCATCTTATCCACTTGATGGAAACCCTGGTGGCGTAGTGGTTAAGAGTTCAGCTGCTAATCAAAAAG